TTGCCAGGACCCTTGGCGGGGCCCTTGGCCTTGCCCTTCGCTGGCGTGGGTGCCTCGCAACTGCGCAGGTCGTCTTGCGAAGCGAACATGAAAGATGATCTCGTGAGAGGCCGCCTATAGGTTGAACCGGCAACCCAATGAACCCAAACGGTACCCTTGACATATTTGGACATTCAAGTATTTGATCCCGGTGCCGAAGGCCTCGGCAGTGGCTTCTTCCTTGGCAGGTGCAGCTGCTTCCGGCGCGCTCGCTGCCTCCCAACAGCTTCTCGAGTTGTAGTGCATGACTCATATATGTGAAGGGTCACACGCCTCGGCTGGTGCTGCCTCTGCTGTCACTACCGTGGCTGGTGTAGCGTCCTTTGCTTCCGCCACTTCCGCTGGGGCAGCGGCTGCCTGTTTACGAGATCACAAGCTAGATGCACGAAGAAGACAACACCATACAACGTATCACAAATTCCTATACAACAAGGACGACGACAACAGGGAACGTGGACATCTTAGGCTTAGAATTGGGGAAGTGCCTTTTGCAACAAAACCAGCTCTTGCACTACTCTCGCATCATGTTCAGCTTCCGCTTCAGTGTCTGTGTGTGGTGTTACGTGAAAGCCTTGCTACAGCTTTGCCTCGGGAGTGGTGGCTTTCTGCTCGAAGTCTTGCAGGGACTTCTCCAGGCTGCCATCTTTGGCGGCTTGGAGCAGCGATGCTGCTGCCTTCTGCTTCGTGCTGGGTTCCTCGGCCGCCGCTGGCGCCTGCATCGGAAGCAACAAACAAACGCTCCACAAGCATCGGGAGTCTCGAGTGAACCGATCTCTCGGCGCAAAATGAGGCTAGGATGGAGCGTCTCATGTGTAAATGCATATAACGGAACCGAAAGAAACATTCGGGGATGCCTCCTTCTGTTCATCCTCTGGTGCAGCAGCAGCACCACCCGTTGCCTTGCCCTTCGCCTCAGTTCACCCTAGCTCTCGCGACACGTCTTCTAGCAAATGGAAGCACAACAACTCCACCAACTTCAAGCTTACAGTAGGGACCTTCCGATACGCAGCGGCATGGTCGGTATAGTCATCTTCAGCTGACTGGCTTTTACCCCTCCCCATGCAAAACAAACTCGAAACTCAACAACGTTTGGCAAGCGGCAGGTGGGCCCTTGCCAGGACCCTTGGCGGGGCCCTTGGCCTTGCCCTTCGCTGGCGTGGGTGCCTCGCAGGTCGTCTTGCGAAGCGAACATGAAAGATGATCTCGTGAAAGGTCGCCTATA